TGAAGACGTGACTGAATTGCTGTAGTCTCATGATAAAACTTGAATGGATGAGCAGTTGCTTCTTAGGGATGAGCAACGAAAGTGGTTTCTTGTGATGGAATCTACTCCTGGTAAAGATGCCATGAACATTGTTGAAATGGCAACAAATAATTTAGAATAGTCTATAAATTTAGTTCATAAAGCAGCAGTAGGTTTCAGGAGACTGACTCCAGTTTTTGTAAGAAGTTCTACTGTGAGTAAGATGCTACCAAACAGCATCGCACGCTACAGAGAAACTTTTGTGAAAGACTGAATTGACTGAGCAAACTTCATTGTTATCTTATTTTACAAAATTGCTACAACCACCCCAATCTTTAGCAACCACCAACCCGATCAATCTGCAGCCATCTACATGGAGACAAGACCCTCCACCAGCAAAATGATTACGACTTGTTAAAGTCTCAGATGATCTTTAGCACTTTTTAGCAACAAGGCATTTTTAATTACAGTTATATATATTTTAGACATAATGTTATTGTGCACTTAATAGACTTAGTATAGTGTAAACATAACCTTTATGTACATTGGAGAACCAAAAAAAGTCATGTAACATATTTAATTGTGATATTTGCTTTATTGCTGTTGGCCGGAACGGAAACTGCAGTTATCTATGAGATACGCCTATATCTATAAAAGCTGCAATGAAAATGCTTACAGTATGGTTGGAAAACATAACTAATACTTCACAAATCCCAACATTGTATATAATTATATGCCAAGTTATATAGTATAGACTAGTATCATAGAAGTTTTGGCTAAAATCTGTGAGCAAATTTTTATATCATTAAAAATGCTATGCAACATAATAAAAGAAGGTATGTACTTAAATCACTTTGGCAATTGTGAAGATGAGTTTTAAGTACTTGATGTTAATGATTAACTTGAAACTACTAAAAGTTGTTCATATAAGGACAACTAGAATGTTAGCTATGCTTTCTAGAATATTTGAGCAAAAAAAAAAAAATTGACAATTTGACTTAGATCTGCCTTTACTAACAAAATGGAAGCATAAAAATAGATTCATAGTCATCCAATAAGAAAACATAATTAAGGGTCCAGAAATATAAAGTGACAATTTCTATTAAAAATGCAGCACATAAGAATATCCATACACCGGTTCAGTGCCTGGGTGTCATGTGCTGTCTAAATAAAAACCTGAGCAAGGGAGGGGAAAATGTCAGCATTAATTGGTCAAATTAGGCCATATTTTTAGTTGACATTACATTTGCACTTGACAATTTAGGTTTGACCTACACACCCAAAAATTTACATTTGACCCACACTAAAAGAATCCATACCATTTTAGTAGGTACTTGACAAAGAACATGTTTCCTGTGTTATATTTTTGTATAATTTAATTTTCACAAATATATACCATTTCCCTTGCCTTGAAAGGAAACGATTATTTCTTTTTTTATACAAGGCAGACCTGAGACCTTTTTCCCCAGTTCCAAATACTTGGTAATATTCAGTTATTTGATTAACTGATTTGACTTTATAGGCCACAGAATCAATCTATTTTTAAAGAAATGAGTTTCCCAAGGCATGGGACACCTACACTGCCTAATTGCATTAGTAGGTATATCAGGTATTAAGTAGTCCAGTAGGAAAGGTATTCCTTTTATAGTTTTCTTTCTGTTGTTTATATCAAGGATTAAGTTTCAGTATCATGCAAGCATGTTTTCACCATTTCTCAAATATGAGGCAATGTTTCTTTACAGCAAAGACAACAGACCTCAGGATAAGCAGACAACAATATCTACTTGGAATTTAATGTTGTCTTTCTTAGATTTGTATTTACTTTTACCATGGTCATCTACTTATGGCAAGTGATACTATACTGGTTCTCATTTACAGAAATAATAACAACTTTCCTCTAAAAATGAATTTAAATTTAGTTAGTCAATGTAAAGAAAAATATTAGGGAAATAATAATATATATAGTTCTCAGATATAGGCAAATTTGTACCATGGTAATTCACTAGTGACTAAAATTGGGAAAACAGAGCTAAAATAATTAACATGTTAAAAATGTTTTTTCATTCAGTTATTCATATTAATTACTGTTAATATTTTCATTTGTATAGTATATGAATTCCTAAGTTGTCTATTGGCAGGGAATTGCAATCTATTATTTAATCCAAATAATTTGTAGAAAATAAATTATTGATACAATTTAGTTAGTATTAAAAGATAGAACAAGGGGGTTTTTAATACAAGTAAGGTAAAATAGTTTCACTGTTATTTGTTCTAGAAGAGTTTGGAGGTACTGCTGTTATTACCACAACATGAACCTAGAGGTTCAGCTTTTAGAGTACCACACAGGCAAGATCATATTACAATATAGCCATTTGGCATTCTAAAATAATGGTTCTAACCCTGTATTCTGCCATAATACATGGAAAATAATGGTCACATATTAGATATATTCCTGGGGGAATGCCCTGATTTTGGCAAAATTCTCCCCTTTCTGTGATTTTTTCCAGAACATTTAGGCAATACAGGGCTGTAAATGTTGGTTATGCGTAAGTTCCAACATGTTTCCTTCTATCCAAGAAAGCAAAACCAAATGTTAAGTCAATGAAAAAACACTAATATAATCAGCTTATTTAACAACAAAAAATAAATCATTCACAAATTTAAGTGCTTTACCTATTTTTCACAACAAATACTTAAGGTATAACTCACTACTGACAGGACTAACAATGGCTCATGACACCTTGGTCCAAACATACTACTTTATTGTTGGAATACCAGATTAATGTCACCTCTTTATATTTTAGTTAAGACAGAGATACCAAGGTAATGACTGGATTAGAGCATGATTTGCAGATGCAGTGACCTAAGTGAATGGTACTGGCACCAGCTATTTATAATTTGATAAAGCAACCAATCATCCAAATTTACTTGCAACACTTAAAAGGTATGAGTTTTATAATTAATGGAAAAAACCTTCATATTAAGGTTGAGAAAAATAAAGGTCTCATTTTGTGACACAAAAGTAGAATAACTCTCAGGTGGTAACCCAAATGTTCCCTTGTGAATTAATGTGTTCTACAATATTAGTAAAACCTAACCACTCCTTTTATGTATAAAATGTAGCACTCACTGATAACACTTAAAATGGCCAGGAGTGGTGGCTCACACCTGTAATTCCAGCACTTTGGGAGGCTGAGGTGGGTGGATTACTTGAGGTCAGGAGTTAGAGACCAGTCTTGACAACATGATGAAACCTCGTCTCTACTAAAAATACAAAAATTAGCCAGGCATGGTAGTGAGCACCTGTAATCCCAGCTACTAGGGAGGCGGAGACAGGAGAATTGCTTGAACCCAGGAGGCAGAGGCTTCAGTGAGCTGAGATCATACTACTGCACTCAAGCCTGGGCAACACAGTGAGACTCTGTCTCAAAAAAAAAAAAATGCTTTTGTGTATTCTGATATAAGTTTTAACAATATATGAATTAGCAGAGTTTAAAGAATTAGATGATATAGCAAACTGTAGGGATAAGAAAGAAATGTATGTAAAATGGGCCATAATGAAAACAGTTTGTTTAAAGGTCCACAGATCTGATCAGTGTCACTGACATAAAATCAAGTCTTGCACTGAACTAAGTCAACATACTGTTTAGGAAAAAGAATTTCTAATATGGATTACAACAGAACTGCCAATTGCTTACATATATATGTGTGTTCCATTCTTGTTGTTATAACATCAATTAATAACAATCATCTTAATTTCATATTTATATTTTGAACTTACCTTTGCCAAAATAACAGAAGCAGAGCATGGTCAACATGATAGTTTCAGGCATCTTAATAAAACCATCATTTTTGGCATCTATGCTGACATTGTAATGGCCTCAAACTGTCAATAACTCATCCAAAGCAAATTTAATAAATGTGGAGACATGGGCTAATATTACAGTCAATTTGCCTATATTCACTATGCACATTAGCTCTACAAAAGAATGTAAATCAAGGAGGCTGAGGTGAAAATATCATTAAACAATAATCCCAAATTAACCAATAGTAAAGTAGAACTCTATGTTCAAGAGTTGTACACTCACACACATGATAAAAGCATAATCATTAAACTTTTTACTGAATTGTCTAGGTTTAGCTAATAATTTTAATGTTACTGATGGACTTTGGTCCTCTTTAACAAAAATTAGAAACATTAATGAACACATTCTTCCCAAACCTTTATTATAAACTTTTATGTTTAAGTATCTATAATTTTTCAATTATTAGGGAAACAATGTGATATGTCATTTTAATCGTGGGTGGATCACCTGAGGTCAAGAGTTCAAGGCCAGCCTGGCCAACATGGTGAAACCCCATCTATACTAAAACACAAAAATAGCTGGGCGTGGTGGCAGGCACCTGTAATCCCAGCTACTCAGGAGGCTGAGTTAGGAGAATCGCTTGAACCTGGGAGGTGGAGGTTGCAGTGAGCCGAGATCGTGCCACTGCACTCCAGCCTGAGTGACAGAGTGAGATTCTGTCTCAAAAAAGAAAAAAAAGAAACATAAATAAGTAAAAAATAATTATTTGTGTAAGGGTAGAGGAGATAGAAAAAATATATGACTTACTCTCTTCATTCTACATGTATCATGTAGGTGTAGAGTTTACAGAAATACCTTTGTAAAACATGGTTACTATTTTTTTGTTTGTAGGTATGTACTTGAAGCATCAGTAGGTCAACTGGCTAACATTCCCACTACGGCAGAAATGCAAATTTTGGAAAAAACAGCCTATAATACTTCAATCGACAGTGAACACAGAAGGCATTTTGTTATCATCAAATCGCCAAACTAATAATGGTGAACAAACAAGGCAGAATTCTCCTGCTGTTTGTATTAAAATTACCACCCAAGCATCGTTCAGACATCTCAGGTCCAACTATAATTCTGCATTTGCCCATTGTGTGCTTAACATCAATGTGATCTAGTAAGTACTACCATGATCTTTGAGATTTCGAAGAATCACAGCAGGAAGGCTATGAGACTGCCACCCTGTCACTAACTCGGCCTCTAGTTCCTTAATGTGGGCCCTGAGCATGAGGGGTGGCACTTTCAGAAGCAGGTCAAGAGGCAGCAAAGCTGAAGAAATAAAAGGGGGAAAGATATGAAACTGTAACATAAATTACATTGAATTTTAGAGAGTTGTGTTTGATTTTATTGCTATCAACACTAAGTTACCTGGTCTTGGTCTTGATCCTGTTCCTCCAGTGAAGTCCCTGAAAATAGAATTACAGGCCATTAGAATGACTTGTTCAAGTTGGATTTGACAAACTAAGAGCCTACATCTTGCTATGGCTACATTATAAAGATTAATAAAGATTATTTTCCCTCAAGATGCTCTCAAGAGTTTAATTAAGAGGGAAATAAATATATTGCAACACACGGTACAATTGACATTCTACTGACAAATGGCAGAATCATCCCACCACAGTTGTTTCTTAGGCTCTAAGTATGACTAAGAGCCTAACTCTTATGATCCTGAATAATTTTCTTGTTACACTTAAACTCGAAATATGATTTTGCACTAAAAGGATATAAGATTTAAATGTTATATACAGTATTTTCTATGATTTGTTCCTGCTCTATTAAAAAAAAAAAAAAACGAAAAAAAAAACAAACAAAAAAAACCTTATTCCTCTTCCTATAAAATGTTTTTTGCATTGAAAATAATTATCTTTCCTAAAGTTGCCAGTGTTATTAACATCCCTTGTTTGCCTTGGAGGTGACCTTAGACTGTACCAGGGATATGTGTAAATCACCTTCAGCCTTTTTTTTCCACTGTAACCAATTTTTTTTTGAGATGACTCTCGCTCTGTAACCCAGGCTGGAGTGCAGTGGCGCGATCTCAGCTCATTGAAACCTCCACCTCCTGGGTTCACACCATTCTCCTGCCTCAGCCTCCTGAGTAGCTGGGACTACGGGTGCCTGCCACCATGCCCGGCTAATTTTTTTGTACTTTTAGTAAAGACGGGGTTTCACTGTGTTAGCCAGGATGAACCTCGTGATCCACCCACCTCGGCCTCCCAAAGTGCTGGGATTACAGGTGTGAACCACCACGCCCAGCCTAGAACCAATTTTTTAATAGTTTTCTAGAATGAAATAAGAAACATCTGTGCCCTGACAAGTTGTAAGAATCATTCTTAAACTTAATGCAATCCAACAAAAATATATCATACATCTACTATGTATAAGGCACATGATAGGTATTTGTTAAGTAGGAATAAATACAGGAATTTAAATACAAGTAAACATGGCTGATAAGTCTGTTGTCCCAACCCTTTTGTTTTAATCATAGATTTTTTGATACATGCATGCAACACCTACCTGAGTTATTAAGCGTAACAAAATTGGCACTCATTTACCTACCACCCAATTTAAGCACTAGAATAATACCAAAATCTTTGTATCCACTTATGAGTTTCTTCCCTGTTCCTTTCCATTCCCTCTTGATCCTCACCAGGCTAGTACTCTCTTGATCCCACAATATATTCTGTTCCATTCTGAGCTCAAGGTTCCAGAGCCTTGAAAAGTAAATGGAACCTGCCAGCCTTTAACAGTTTATATACTTTCCCTAACCCTGAGATAAGGAGCGTGTTTAAAAAAAGAAATGAAGCTGATCCTGCCCTCAGAAAGTTTGAAAAGAGACATGATCACAGCAGTGCCCATGTGTAGGCAGGACAACCTCAGGGCTGAGCTGAGAAGCAGAACATCTGTTCCAGCTCCTCGTATGCCTGCACAAATGCCAGATCCCAGCAAATGCTTTCCGAATAACTTTGCCCCTTAGCCTTCTAGATGAGGCTAGCACTGTCCAATAGAAACTGGTTGTAAGCATCAAACATAATTTTAAGTTTTCTGGTAGCCAGATTTTTAAAAAAGTAAAAAGAATACAGTGAAATCAATCTATTTTATTTAATCAAAAATATCCAAAATATTATTTCAACATATAAAAATTGAGATATCTTATTATTTTACATCTTAATTAATCTCAAATGAAATTGAAAATTCAGTCCCTCAGTTGCACTGGCCACATTTCAGCTGCTCAAGAGTCACATGTGCCTAGTGGCCTCCACACTTAACGATGTGGTCTGCCCTTCCTTAAGTGTTGGTCATTGTCTCCATACACTTACTACATTCATGCCAGGTAGCTGCTAAACCTGCAATACCTCCTGAATCCCACTCTCTTAAAAAGTGAATACAAATGCAACTGGAGGCAAACTTGTATCCGTCAGGTTATTCATGTTCTTGAAAAGCTGATAATCACTCACATGATGAGTTTGCAAGATGACTGTTTCAGATGATCTGAAGAATCTAACATTTCAAACATTTTTACGTATTAGCAAATGCTATGCATAATGTGTGCTAGTGGGATATGTGACATAGAACACCCTGACAATGCTAAGTTGCTGCTGCCTCTGCTATTCCTTTATATAATTTTAAATTACTCTTTGATAAACTTCAGGGAATCTTTAAAAAGAACCATTACACATTCATTCATTCATTCGAGAAATATTTATTAAGTGCCCACAATATATAGCCACCATGTTGGACACTGAGATGGGATGGTGAAAATAAATAGTTTCCACAGTCTTGGGATTTAAAAGATTGCATAGAGATAGCAGAAAATAAATGTCAATTTCTCTGGAAATTATATCACTAACCGCAAGAAAATATAGTCATCTGAAATTTCAAAATAGAACAGACTCATTGTGACCAGAAGTGACAGCTTTTAACTATGCAATTGTTGGGTTCACAGATGGACAAACGATTGAAATTATGCAGAGCCTGGGGGAAGACTGCCTCTAGATTGAACCACATTGAATGTTTATGCCCAACAGAGCATTATGGCTACAGAGGGTGGTGTCCCCATCGTACCACAAGCTGGAAAATACACCAAAGTGGTTTCACACAGAGAACATTCCAGAAATAGTTTCTGGTGAAGAGGCTTAATATATTATTATAGTTTGTGTTCTCTGAAAATTTTGAAATGGGCATTGACCAACAGCACTTCAGGTTGATGGAAGAATTTCAGAAAAATAGAAGGCTGAAAGAATTCTAAAAGGCCATCCCTTCCAGCTCTCTTCAGACCTAGTATGACCTCATCTGGAATTAATAAGGCAAAAGAGAAACTGAAGTGCTGAAAATGAGTGTTAGCCTACAACTTCCACCCCAAAACACTAACAGATAAAGTGAATAATCCAGGAAGTAGCTTTGTAATTTTTTAAATAGACTTTTCACTGAATTAAGTCAAGAGCAAGGTGAATTATTTAGATAATTATTTTGCCAGCAGAGTCCTGGCCAAGAAGAAGACGAAGCCCTAAAATTTCATCTCTCATAGGAATTCCTTGAAATATATATCTGAACAAAGAAAACATTTTCACATGCATTATAAGTGTATTCCATCATTTAATTCAATTGTGAAAAGTATCAATGCTATTTGATATTGATAAAAATAATTAAACCTTATGAAATGAGAGGTTTGGCTTACAATAGTAAGGTAATGCCTTCTGAAACTACTGCAACCACACCACGTTAGCTAATGAGCATTTTATAGCTGAAGCTCTCTTTCAGGCAGTGACATTCATACATACATCCTGTGTGAATAAGCAACATTATGTAGCTTTGAGTTCTCCTATTTATCTATAATGTTAATAGAGTTGGTATCATGACAACAAAGTAGTATAATGCTCCTGTGCCTATCCCCTTGCACCCAAATAACATATCTCATAACAAACGAGCAATAAACCAGGAAAGTATAGAACTATCACAGAAAAGAAACAAAGTGGTCTTACTATGCGTTTTTTTTGTTTGTTTTTGTTAAGACTGCTGGAGTGTGACATTGGCAGATGGGCCAGGTTGATTCTAGCAAGGAGTAATCATGCAGTATTAATTCCTCCAAAGTAAAACCAGATACAGATTATGAAAAAGATGGAGGGAGAAGAGCTACAAGTAAAAATAAGCAAGACTTCTGCTTTTAGGAGGCAAGATCCACAGGTCCTGAAAATACACAAGGTCTTTCCAGTCACAAGTATGATGCTGAATGGTCACAAACCTCCACAATCATCTTTACATATAAAGACTTAGAGGCCTGGCAGGGTGGCTCATGCCTGTAATCCTACCATTTTGGGAGGCCCAGGCGGTGGATCACCTCAAGTCAGGAGTTCGAGACCAGCCTGGACAACATGGCAAAACCTCATCTCTACTAAAAATTCAAAAATTAGCTGGGTGTGGTGGCAGGTGCCTATAATCCCAGCTACTAGGGAGGTTGGGGCAGGAGAACTGCTTGAACCCAGCGGGCAGAGGTTGCAGTGAGCTGAGATGGTGCACTGCACTCCAGCCAGGGCAAAAGAGCAAAACTCCGTCTCAAAAAAAAAAAAAAAAAAAGACTTAGACTTAGGAGCACACTGTCAAATACAATTATGCATACACTGACGAATCAAAAAAGTTGTGAACCACAGGCATCTTTGATACCACAAACATCCAGTGTCTCAAACCAGCCTGCCAACTATACCCTGTTGCCTTGGCAACAGGAGGCAAGCAGACATGGAGAAATCTTGTTGCCTGAGCAACAGGATCCCTTTAAAAAAAAAAAAAATGTGCCTTAAGCTGTGGCTATGGCAAAGGCTGTCAGTAGGCAAGATTTCAGTCCTTGGTAATGAGATAAAGAATTTACACTAAGATAACAATCATTCATCTATTCATTAATCAGTATCTGTAGGTTGGTACCTATGTGCAATACACTGTGCCCTGGAGAAGGCAAAGATGAATTAGGCATAGTTTGGCACATACCCGGCACACAGCAATACATATCCATCAATTAAATAAATGAATGAAGGTTCTTAAGATGGTTGTAAAACAATGACTAAACTTTACTAGGACCTGAGCATATGTGATAAAGAGGCTGAAGCCCCCATGAGCATTATCAAGTTCCACTGTAGAGAATGTTTTATTTATAAGTTGAAATAATATGCTATGACTTGCTGAATTAGAATCCTCAATGTGTATATACTAGGTCAGCCTACGAAACCCGCATAAAAACTGGTAAAAGTCAAGCCGATTCTTAATGCCTTCCTAGCAAATAGTAATAGATATAAAAGATTTCATTTCAAATTTGAAAATGATTAAAGTTGGAAATTTCAAAGAAATTGGGGCTTATTCCTCCCTTGATCTTGCCATTAACTATATTCCTCAAAAAAACTTTTATCAACTAATGATGGCTTGGATTCCCAGGTGCCTTCCAGTTCTAATATTGTTCTCCAGCCCTGAGACTTCAAAACGTCTCTAAGGGGGCAGGGGCTATCCCTCCTAGTTCCATTTGCTCATGTTTTATCCATTTGTCTGGATCATTTGCCCAAAAGCATATCCTAAGTTATTAGGGAGTTATGTTAGTTATTCAGCAGGCAATTGGTTTAAATCTGGCTCCTGATATCTAATATCTGACCAAAGTTAAGAATTTATGCTTAAGCTTTCTCTTAGTACCATTAATATTTAGCCAGGGCCACATCTGACTTCTATATTTTGGAGGCTGTGGTCAGAACACATATGTCCTTCCCTGTGACTTCTCTCATTGGGCCTTTTTAAAGAGCCAGTAAGGGTCCCCAAGTGGAAGAGCTGCCCAGGGTCTCCTTGTAATTGTTATACCATTTTATACATGGCACAGAATAGGAAACAACAACAACAACAACAACAACAGAAAACCCTCTACAGGCTCGATTTTCAATTTATTTTTATTCTATTATGCAGCTTTGCTATCTCCTTTTATATTCAAACTTCTTATTTAGTTTCTAAATATTTTGCAGGATGGGTTCACATTTCACATTAATAAACAAAGAAACCCAGAAAAATCCTAAACAAATTAGATTGCAAATAACTTTAGCTTTATTTAACGTTCTTTAAAGAATTATAAATACATTTTGGTATTGTCTCCTTTTAATTCAGAGAAGCCCCGGGGATTACCTGGGAGGGAGTCAAAAGTTATTAATTTTCTCTCCTCTTATTTGGCATAAATCAAAGGCTGTCTTTTATCATTTATTTTCTTCTGAAGTCTGCCCTTGTCTTTCCATTTCACTGTGAGCTCCATGAAGGAAGAGAGCTTGTCTTAAACAAACCTGTGTTCCCTGGTAGCATGTCACACTGTATTACCACATGTCATGGCACAATTTTGCAAATGTTGCTTAGGGTCCTGTTCACCTTGGAACATACTTTCCAAAATATCAACTTCAATGTGTGGGCCACTTTCCATGTCCATCTGTTGACTTGGTCATAACCCCAAGTTAAGGCTTGTTCTATAACCCTGTTTCAATGATCTTCAGATTAAACTTTGCCTTTCTGCTGATTCTAGCTTACCCAATTTGTTTTAAAGTATTTAGTTAATGACTAACTTTTTAAAAACCATCTCAAGCCCTAAAAGATATAGACCATATTGGGTTTTTGTTTGTTTTTGAAGGGGTGGACATCAACCAATTTGTGCAAATCAGACAATTTTCCATGGATCCTTTCAAAAAAAGAATAGAATTATTTTTGACAGGGCCAAGATACCTACATTCATCTGATTGGAAATTTTCATTTTAATAGAAAATTCACTTAATTGGGAGTACAACATATGTCATAATTTACTTTTGAACTAAAATACTTGCTTTGTTAGTGATAGAAAGTCAGTAAGTGGGGAGTGTTGGGTACTAGCAAGCCCTAAAGATCCTTTGGAAGATCTTTTAACTCAGATCTCCAGTCCCCACAAACACCCATTGTGGTTCTCTTTGGCATTTTGGACTACTTTTCTTTCCCCTGCCCTCCCCATTACTTCTGACCATGACTGCTTTGCACTTTTGCCCACTAAAGAACGCCATGAGGTCTTATAAGGTTTTCTTGAATATCTTTCTGACAGATCACACCCCCTATCGAAAAGATTTTCTTGGGTTTTTATTCCCAGAAACACGGGGAAAAAGTTAGGAAATTAAAAGGCTCCATCCTAACTCCTCCTGGTCTTCATTTGAAGAAGGTAAATGTATCAGTGATACACCTTTGACTAAACAAGAAAACGATTTGTCTATAGGAACCTTCCTTTGTCACCTAACTGAATCCCCCAGGAATTTGCTGAGCAGGCTCTTCTGAACTTCATTTACATTATGCGATTCCCAGCACCCTCAAACCCAGAGATAGATCCAGATGGTTCCATTGAGGCTGCCCAGTACTAACACCGGCTCCCTTCAGCAAGCACCCCTGATGGACTAGTCAAGGATCTCAGCTCTCCTCAAGGCAGTAAACAGGCACCTGATCCCAGCCAGGTCAATCTGGCTCTCTCTCTCTCTCAGGATTTTGAATCCTAAGAAAGGTGACGTGAGAATGGAATAAACAAACTGGGAGTTTATTTGTCCCAGAGTTCTCCTGTCCTTACAAGCCTCCCAAAAATATCTCCTTTATAGACTTCAGGGACTGAACTGACTCGTATGCCTTCCCAAGCTTGATCCTCCAGAGTCTAAATTACACAAGCCCCATAATGCCTTCTAAAGAAACCCCGGTCACATAAGTTAGCTAGAGTCAGGCTCCTTTGCTTGTATCCAAAAAGCCATGCCTGCTATAGCACATCGCAGCCTTAGCGTTTCATCACACAGATGCTGCCACCTCCCGAGTGGGAGTCATCCCACAGCTTTGAAGACCCCTGCCTGGCATCACCACTTATATGTGGCCCAACCTCAACAGGTGCCCCAGCCTCAGCGCAGTCTGGCAGTCCTTCCTCCATTCTCTGCTCAGTTCTTATCTCAACATTGACTGCTCCTAGCTGAATATACTCCTCAAATCTAGACAGTCCTCTCATCTGTGGCCTAGAATATCATCTAATACATAGAAACCAGCTGGGCACAGTGGTGAATGCCTGTAATCCCAGCACGTTGGGAGTCTAAGGTGGGTGGATCACCTGAGGTCAGGAGTTCAAGACCAGCCTGGCCAACATGGTGAAACCCCATCTCTCCTAAAAATACAAAAATTAGCCAGGCATGGTGGCAGGCACCTGTAATCTCAGCTACTCAGGAGGTGGAGGCAGGAGAATCACTTGAACCCAGAAGGCAGAGGTTGCAGTGAGCTGAGATCATGCCACTGCACTACAGCCTGGGTGACAGAAAGAGATTTTATCTTAATAATAATAATAATAATAATAATAATAATATACAGAAACCATAAAGTATATTCTTCCTTGATCTCCCTTTCTCTATTTCTCTAGCTTAATTTTATCTTTACCTCCCTTTCTTCAGACACAAAGAAGGAGTTGCCACTCATCTTTTCCAGGCCTACTCCTCTGGCTGTGGTCTATGTTGCAACTGTACACTGTCAGTTATCTCTTTTCCTCTCTAATCTCTCCTCTCCATTAGTCTCTTCTCCTTCCTCTGTCCCAAATGCCCTGAGTTCATCCTGATTCTAAGAGGTCCTTTTCCATCAAACATTCCCCACCAGCTCACTCTCCCAGCTCATTTTCTCAACTTCTTAAATGTCTCCTATGTCTGCCTCTGGAACATTGCAATCAAGTTTCTGCTCCCTCTGATCTCACCCAGTGCCAGTGAAGGGGCCCCCATGAAGGTCAGGAGAACTTGCAGAAGGCTCATTCTAATAGTTTTGTTTCAGTCCCTACTCTCAGAAACAACTGTCACTGACACAGCGAGCTGTCCTAAAATAAGAATTTTACTTTGCTTTTAAAAGATAATCTCCCAAACATAGTCCACCTTCCCTTGCAACTAGTTGTGGTCATATGAGGAAGTTCTGGCCAATGGTATGTGAACAGAAGTGATGAGCATAACATCTGGGTCATATTCTTAAAAGAAAGAGGGGTGCCTCTACTTCCCCTTTCTTCTTCTTGCTGGCTTGGAGGTAGGATGTGGTCTCATAAGTCATATTGGTCAAAAAGATGAAATCTATACCCTGGGGATATGGAAGAACAAGATATAAGACCAGGGCTCCACATGACCTCATGGAGCACAGCTGCCCTACCCTGCTGGCCCACCCTTGAGCTCAGCGAGGCTAACTGATTTGCTCAAGGTCACGAAGCTAGAAAAAGGCAGAGCTAGAATAAGACCCAAGTCCAAGTTTAGCACCTGTTTCAGTATGCTACTTGGTGAACTATAAATGGTTCTGGGCAAGTAAGCTCTAACTCCTTCTATTTCCACAGGCACATGGAAACTTCTGGCTATCAGGTTTCAATTCAGCCATCAATAACTCAGCTCTGCAAAATCAAAAAATATTTCTAGGAGCTCAAATTGTACCTACCTTGTTTGGGACTGTCTTTCTCCTCCTGAAGCACTAAAACTTCTCTTTAAAATGTCTGAGACGAGAAAATAGAAATAACTTTACATTATTTCCTCTGCAAATCTTTTGTTTTTTAAGTTTTAATAAAACAATGCTGAACAACAAATGCTGGTGAAGATGCAGAGAAAGGGGAACTCATACACTGTTGGTGGGACTGTAAATTACTGTAGCCATTATGGAAAATAGTATAAAGGTTCTCGGCCAGGCGTGGTGGCTCACACCTGTAATCCCAGCACTTTGGGAAGCCGAGGTGGGTGAATCACGAGGTCAAGAAAGTGAAACCATCCTGGCCAACATGGTGAAACCCTGTCTCTATTAAAAAGTACAAAAATTAGCTGGGTGTGGTGGAGCGTGCCTGTAGTCCCAGCTACTCAGGAGGCTAAGGCAGGAGAATCGCTTGAACTGAGGAGGCGGAGGTTGCAGTGAGCCGAGTTGCACCACTGCACTCCAGTCTGGTGACAGAGTGAGACTCCGTATCAAATAAATAAATAAATAAATAAATAAATAAATAAATAAATAAATATTCTCTTAAAAATACTAACAACAGAACTTCTATATGATCCAGCAATCCCACTACTGGTATATATCCAAAAGAAGGGAAGTTAGTATATCAAAAAGATATCTCCACTCTCGTGTTTATTGCAGCACTACTCACAACAGCCAGGATACGAAATCAAACTAAATACCCATTCGCAGATGAATGGATAAAGAAAATGTTTAACAATTTACTGAATATTTAATAGCTAGAAGGGGACATTTGAAATGTTTCCAACACAAATAAATGATAAATGTTTGAGGTGATCAATATATGAATTACCCATACAATGTGTAATTTGATGACTACACATTATATACAAATACCAAAATATCACAAGTATCCATAAATAGGAACAAATATTATATATCAAAAAAATTTAAATAAGTTTTTTATAAAATTCAAAATAATAAAGAACATATATATTCCATGAATGGCTTTGTCTATAAACACTCTCATATTGTTCTAAGGTCAAACTTTTCTCTGTAAATGGCAGGTAGGAAATATTCTAGGCTTTGCAAGCCGTACTATGTCTGTCACAACTGAATTCTGCTGCCACTGTAGCATGAAAGCAGTCAAACAACATTCAAGAAACAAACATGGCTTTATTCGTGGCAAACCACAGTATCAACAAAAAACAATGCTGAATTTCTGTTACCTGAGCAATTGTACATACTGTAAAAATTGTCTTTGATTATGAAAACATGAGCTAAAATATGTTATAAATTGTCATTTATTTGTCAGGTTTGTTTAAGGGCTTTTTTTCTAAAGCAAATGTCTAAACAAACAAAAACAACCCTGTTATTAATATCTAACAAAACACAATAAAATGTCATGCAATAAAATGTCATAACCATCCTTGCCAAGTTACCACATGCAAATTTAAGGGTCAAGCATCTCTTTCCTACCTCCCCAGTAACCCTCCCACCATTGCTGCCAGGTATATAGAACACTGAACTTATCTCAAAACAGTCAGTAATAAATTTCTTCTGGAATTTGTTATATATGTTTATATGCATAAATATTTTTCCCATATGAGCTTCATGTTTTCCCAATTGTAAATTAATACACCTAGAAGGCAGGGATTTACAGAGAAAATAGGACAGAATATTGAAAACTGGGGTTGTCCCAGAAAATCTGGAACATCTAGTTATCAGTTCAATGGACCAATTAAGTTTGGAAAGGACAAAGAATGTAGCTAAATCCTTAGGGTTCTACTTTGATCCTTAGAGAGGCTATTTTAAATGTTCTTTTATGAGATTTTCATAGTATAGTCACTGAGGAGAGAGAATTATTTTCACTTATTTCAGAATATTTCTACCTACAGTTTTTAATATTTTATCAAGTTACTCTTTTTTTCTTTTCTTTTTTTTTTTTTTTTTGAGATGGAGTCTTTCTCTGTCACCCAGGCTGGAGTGCAGTGGTACCATCTCATCTCAGCTCACTGCAAGATCCGGCTCCCGGTTTCACGCCATTCTCCTGCCTCAGCCTCCCGAGTAGCTGGGACTACAGGTGCCCACCATCATGCCCGGCTAATTTTTCTATTTTTAGTAGGGACAGGGTTTCACTGTGTTAGCCAGGATGGTCTCGATCTCCTGACCTTGTGAACCACCCGCCTCGGCCTCCCAAAGTGTTGGGATTACAGGCGTTAGCCACTGCGTCCGGTCTCAACTTACTCTTTTCAAAAAAAATTGTTTATCTTCATTTTCCATTTTAACTTCTCTTTCAGTTTCAGGTTTGTTGAGTATGTTTGATTCTATCTCTCTTTATAAACTTTAAATTTCATCTAAATATACCTTTTCCTTTTCTTTCCCATATCCCAGTATGACTTTCTTTACTGTTTTAAATTAAGAGTCAAGATTAACATTATGAACTGAATTTATATGTCATATTTTTTATAACTCTAAAAACATTTCTTTTGTTTTATTGTTTTAAATGTAACACAGGCCTTTAGATTTATATAATTAAAATTGTACAAAAATTAGTCTATACCAAGACCAATTTCTTCTACAGACTTTGAATTCCTCTAACAAACAGGCTCGTAAAAGGTCATGTCCATTACTCCTGTGGTTATTTGGCTGTCTCCAAGATATTTTGATTCTCTAGTTAGAGCCTGCATTTGCTGGTAGAAATAATAAAACTATTCATTTGACAGCTGAGAAAATATAAAACCACTGTGCTGGCTAACCTTTGGGCTCTGTCAGAGAGACAGACACATCTGTCCTAATTAGCATTGCACCTGAAAAACAAACCACTGGGTTACGTATATGGTGATATTTGCTTGACTCAAGTATGATTTCCAAATCACTGTCTTCTGGAATCCCGCAAATGGCAAATTGATCAAAGAAAGCTTACTGAATGTAGATTCTTTCAGAGGGCTTGAACTGGAGCTGCTGGAGTTATCCGAAATGTCCAATTCATCATCTAGCTCTGAATATATATCTGCACATGAATTAAAAACAATAAAAACGCAAATAAGTCTTGAAACAGGAAGGAGTTCAGAATGCATTCATGCTTACACGCTGCCACTAGCAGTACCTTTCTCAGTATTTTCCAGGTTGAAGTTATCATCTGACAGGATTTCGTCACAGGCCCTGTCTTCGTCTTTACCATAGGAGGCCTGGAAGCCTTCGGGGGGCAGGTCTGCACTTTCTGAAAGTTCACTTTTCAGGCTGGCTGCCCCACTGCTGCTGCTACTCAAGCTTGCCTTCTCAAAGGTCTCCTGGAAAGAGAAATTCAGTTTTTCATAGCCGCTTTCTCCATCCTTCCTTCTATAGGACCTAAATCTTGTTAGAACATATATTAACTGCTTCAAATATCGATATAAATGTTTGATGCAGAAGAAGCATCAGTAGTTCCACCTACACACCTGTTTCACAATCTGTTCAGTCCATAAATACAGAAAGATGCAAGTCTATAAGCTACACTGGATCAAAAAGGAGGGAGGTGGCAAGAGTGCTCAGTAGAAAAGGCCCATACAACCCAGTGGGCGGGGGTGGGGGGGGGGAATGTACTTCTAAGAAATAGACTATATCAATTTAGGAGAAATTTCTCTCCTTTAAGTTTTTTCAAAAATATTTGCTATCAAATCCTCTCAGTACCATAGCAAATAAGCAAGGCTTATTCTCTTCAAAACTCCAGGAAAATTAGTAGCAGACAAAGCCAGGCCATGGAGAGTGAGAGGCAAGGTCTTCCAAAAAAAGAAGGGCTACAGAGAACAGAACTTACAAACCACTTGGGACTCTACACTACTGCCTGGCTGGAACACTCCCTGTAGAACCAGCCACAGCGTCCTCCTGAATCATCCAAAACAGATGGATGCATTTCCATTATGATAGCACTACAAAGTCATCAATCTGGTTGTGTAATTGCACATTTCCCTAAATAATAGTATTAGAAAATACAAAAATTATGTCTCAAGGGTCAATAAAAATAAATTAAAGCCACTAATGCTGGAAGTTTTCGTTTTTCTAACAAAAAGACCGTGCGGAAGGAACGACTATGAATCAGTAAAAATACCACTTGTTTCTTTACCCAAGCAACTCTAAAATCTAAGACGTTCATTGTGTGGGACTATTTGTAGCAAGTGTGAAGAGCCTTCTTAGGCTGTGGGGCTAAACAGTGCTGACAAAACAAAGCTACAGAACAGGTAGACAAAAAGACAAAGAAAGGCCATGATGGAGGAAAGGATAACAGGCAGAGAGTGAGAAGAAAGAAAAAGGTGCATTTATTGAAGGGGAAAGAATTCCCTCTATGAATTGCGTACAAGATGATTTACTCACAAATTACCTAGCACTTCTTGACTAAAAGGCCCCAGTGATCCCCATTTGAGAGACAGACTTATTTTATTTCAGATTTATGTGCTTTTTATTTTTTTCCTATAGTTAAAATGACACAGCTTCAAGGCACAGGTTTCTAAAAACTCCATAATAATAGAATTTGCAGATGAAGTAAACCTAAGTTCTTAGGGATAACTAGAGTCAGAAGTAAACCTCTAAAAGCTTTCATATGTTTATGTTCTGTAGGTAAGATGAAAAGATTTTAAAAATATTAAAAACATTTGTGCATTGCAAACTGTCTGATCAATTGCTGTTTAAACTTTGTTTTCCCTGAGATTCTTTTCAGTGATTCTTCAAAGTTTCACCAAGCTCCTTGTTTTGTTGAAGTTAATTTGCAGGTGAAGAAGTATTTTAACTTTGATTTTCCATAATTAGTACATCAAATGTTCAAAGGTGGTTTTATGACTCTGAGTTGCTAATTTCTGCTTCTGAGGTCCTGGTTGGCTAACTTACAACCTGAGATGGGAAATGCTTTGGCCGCTCTCCGGCAAAAGATATGTGCTACTCAGAAATTTTTCCAATGCCTAAGGCTAGTACGGGGCCTCTAAGGCCAGCCTCAGCTCTGCCACACTCAACCCTTGATACCAAATCCAGGAGCTCTTTCTAAGGCTCAAAACTTTATTGCAAAACCAACTCAACTTCTTCCATGCCTTCCTCTTTTCTTGGTCCCAAACCACAAAACCCTTCTTCCTCTGACTATCCTCCACTGAAGTTATTAGAAATTCGCATAGAAATAAAAACCCAATTCAAGGCCTTTTCCTTTTTATGACCGTTTTTATTCGAAGTAAATCATCTTCTACCCTATCCTGAAGACCACAACTGGCATCTGCAACTTTTTAAGGGCTTTACACCCAAGATGTGTCAATATTACCAAGGCTAAAAAAGATGAAGGAGAATTTTTGAATTGAGAAAAGTTTTTATTCTGTCAATGCAATTAAGATGCTGGAATTTGAATATCTCTAAAACTAGCAAAACTTTAACAAAGGCTTCATTTCTCTTAAGAACAGTCATGGATAAAACATCAGAGGAAAACATTTTTCTTTGAACATATGAAGAGTCAGGAGAAGCTGGAGTCCCCGCTGAAAAAGGCAATTTGAGACTTAAGGAGGCTGGACTTGCAACCAAAACCCAAGAACCAATCGGGTCATAAATCAATAGTCACTTGTAACTGCCAAAATTTCATCCATGGGTAATAGACTGTTTGCATAAATTCTGATAAAGGAAAATTTACAATCTGAGAGAGATGCTTTTTCAGACTCTCTATGCATAAAAATATGATAATATAGAATGGATAGTTTTGATTTAAAATTTATATTTCTAGACAGGGCGTGGTGGCTCACGCTTGTAATCCCAGCACTTTGGGAGGCCAAGGCAGGCGGATCACGAGGTCAGGAGATCAAGACTATCCTGGCTAACATGGTGAAACCCTGTATCCACTAAAAAATACAAAAAAATTAGCCGGGCATGGTGGTGGGCACCTGTAGTCCCAGCTACTCGGGAGGCTGAAGCAGGAGAATGGAGTGAACCCAGGAGGTGGAGCTTGCAGTGAGCCGAGATTGTGCCACTGCACTCCCGCCTGGGTGACAGAGGAAGACTCCGTCTCAAAAAAAAAAAAAAAAAATTTAAATTTAAAAAAAATTATTTTTCTATAACAATCCTTTGCAGCAGTTTTTGCTTCAAAAAAATTGATATAATTTTTGACCTTGCCATAAACCATATGCCACACATTTTCCCTACTGTGATTTCTGGACTTTTTCATTGTGAGTATTTGAGTATCCATCTCTTTATAAAATTGTTCCTTGAAGAACTGGGGGCACTTTAGTCCCTTTTAAATCCTTCAGTGCTTTGCACAATGCCTTACACATTGCAAAGGCTCAATAAATAGTTGAGCCATTAAGTTGTCCTCAGAAGACACATCCAGCAAGTACATTAAGCTATTAAAGGGATTTAGGCAAGAAAAAAGATAAAGCTTTTGGGGACAGAATTTGGCTGCTATCATCTTTTTCACTTTCTAATTACTAAGATTTTTCAAGGAGTAGGAGAGGGAGTTAACTAGATATTTTTGGCATCTGCATGCATCTGTCCTAGGAATGGATAGACACATTCTGGATATCAATACGGCAGCAAGGAGAATACAATGCAAATCAGACAATAAAATTATCACTGATATGGAAATCAGCACCAATACAGAAGATGTTTCCTGTCACCACGCTAGTATAGGCACAATTATGTTTAGCTCGATTTTGCACATTATAATGTAATATTTTTATGTGTGCAGCAGATCATAATACATTTTCAGTTGAACAGCAATTCAAATAGTAACAGACTGACATTACCCAAATTAACTGCTACAGTAGGAAAATTAAGGGCACCTATTTTATTAAAATCAGTGCAATTTTTAAAATTGCCAGAATGTTAGTTTTAGAAGGGGAGAGAGAAAGAAAACCAAGAAACAAATGTAAAGCATAACACCAGTTACATCCTATAGATGCTTTACTTTAGAACTCTAAAAAATGCACTATTTCTTTGTGTTCTGAAATGTTCATATTCTCTTAGGTATATTTTTACCCAGTTTCTTCCATCTCTTTTGTTAATAAACTGTACCCTTAAATATCTCCATTTAGTGCTACCAGGTGCTTGAAATTCATCCAGCTGAGGTGATCTTTTATCAGTGGCACACCGCCTTCTATGGTTTTCATGGATGATTGCACAAAGAAAATTCAAACTAGGAGACAGGCCATTGACTGCATACTATTGTAAATAAACTCAGTCCCTACATTTTAAGGTATATTTTTAAAAATCAGCCAGCGTGGTCAGATGATTAAGGAACCTTGTGGACTAGACCATAGCTGAGGGGTGGTGAGATAGGAATCTTTTCTCCAGGCCTCCCTATGGAAGACTTGGCTTTGCCACATCAGAGAGGTGGGCTGATAAAATAAGCCTGGTCTCCACTCCCAACTCAGTGGTAGATGGAAATCTTTCAATCTTTGATCCTGAAAGTTAGTTTTGTTTATTTTTTAGAAATAAGGTCTCATTATGTTGCCCAGGCTGGTCTCGAACTTCTGGGTTTAAGGAATCATCCTGCCTCGGTCTTCGGAGTAGCTGGAAATATAGAGGCACAGCACTGTGTCCAGCTTTCCCAAAATGGTTTGGATGATAACATCGTCTATTTTCATCAAGAAATCTTGAAGAATTTCCCTTCCCCCATTCTCCACATACAGTTAAGAGAGCAATAGTTAAACCAGAAAAACTGTTGTTTTGGGACCCTAAAAATAACTAATTTATATGGATTATATAATAAAGAAAATATTCTTTTTAGGTTGGATCTTATTTATTTTGAACTTCTTGAATATTTATACAAAGCTAAAAATGTTACTGTCATGACATAATTATCTCATTATTATGATACTATCTTAATTAGAACTTCTTAAAAGCACTATTACATATTAATGAATTAGGGAATTAAATAAATAAATTAAATAAATTAGGGAATACATTGGTCATTACAATTCAATCTAAAAATCCAGTATCAAATTTATTATGGCTAAAAATGTTTCACCGTTTTCCCATAACTAACCTAGTACTGTATCAGAAATGAAAGGATTTTCTATCACTTTTAACTCAAATACAGGTTTTCTACAAGCAATAATACTAACAAAAAGGAAAAGAAAAGCAATATCATAATCTGAAATTATCGTATGTTAAGAATACAGAAGATCTCGTCCATCACAACAATACTGACCACCATGTTTTTCCAAGATGGCAGACTGACATGTCAATAGAACTAAATGTATATACGAATATATTCAAAAGCATTACAAACAAGGCCAGAATCAGGTAATTCTACTTAACATTTAAAAGAAACAATGGGGGCTGGGAGTGG